AAAATTCAGTTTAAAATACATTGTCGGAATAAAATCGGACAAAATTTAAAACTCTTTACGCGAAAGGATATTTAGCATAGGAGTTTGGGTAAATCTACCTGATGAGATGTACTACGCACAACTCGTTAGTTGGTTTCGTTTTCTTTAATTTCTCAACGTTTGCAAGTTTCTAGGTAATTCATATGTAAATATAGTTAAATGCATAATAAGCAACAATTGTATGAATTAAAAATATTTAATTGTTCTTAAATACCAAGATAATTTAATTAAAACAATGATAACTGCAAGTATGGTATCAGTGTATATGGACTTTTTGAATGAACAACTTCACCCCATTGGCTTGTACAGTTACGCAAGCAACCAATAAACTATCGGCGACAAACAGACACTTAAGCTGCATATAATAAAGATTATTATAAAAGGCTTTTCGTATATCATCTCCAAGAAACAGGAATTTCATAAAAAGATTAATGTAAAGCAATGAATTATTGGAATAAATTTTAGTCAGTATTTTAAGTATATGTATAAGTTATTTCGATTTCTACTGTAGTAAAAGAAAAATTTTTTTAATTGTAGGGTAGTAATATTTTGAACCGTAAACATTCTAAAACGTAAAATTTTATCTGACGATTGCAATAAAAAAGGTAGTTGGTCATATAGTCTCCTATACAAAATTTGAACGATATCACTAATAATTTTTTGAATTATACGCGATACATACATATAAATTGCGAAAAAATCCCTTTTGAATGGACTTAAAGGACCGTTTTAAGAAACGCAGTTGTTTATTTTGAGACATCACGCAAAACAAATTTGCCGAAATGGACTCGGGAATATCAAAATGGATATTTCTGTTGAAATACGATACCCGAAAGTTTTCGCGATTGCAATATTTCGTATATATAATACAATGAAGTAGTAAAAAACTATTTCATTTGCAGCGTGCCAGAATGTTGCCATTTGGCAAAACTGAAAAAATTTATTCAATTTTAATCAACGAACTCGGCTATATTAAAGCAGTGTGTTGCCACTGTCTGAAATAAAATACATTTACCTTCCACGTGCTAGCGTGCTGGCATTCAGTAAAGAAATAGATGTTTAACGTTCAAATTTAATTTATCTGTACAAATCAACCGATTTAAGACACACAAACGCAGTTCTTAAGAATGATTGATTTAAATACTGATAATGCATTAATATCACGGCGTACATATTCATGTTTGGGGGATTTCAAATTTTAAAAAAGTTAATTTTAGACAAATAACGAAATCTGACTTAAAAATAATGCGGTCCACCGGGTCCTATAATTACATTTTGTAAAATTTTATACCAGTTATGAAAAAATAAAAATAGAATTTTGACTCCGGACGACAAAACTTGACAGGGATATTTAATTCCATATTTTTCATTTTTTATGCCATTTTTAACTTGCATCGAGGGATCTTTTAATTAACTTAGAATAAGTGAAAGAAATAAATTTAATTGTAGTGCTGCAAAAAAGTGTGCATAAATTAATAGGCCGTACACGAAAGTCATGTGTTGTCCACATCAGATATTTTTCTTAAAGGATTCTCCTCCGATCACAGATGCACTGTAACCGACATTAAGAATAATCACATACGTTTCTTAGTTCGTTAAGGATTTAGTTAGTAATAAAGATACGCAAGCTTAATCCAATGGCTGAGGAGATTATTAAACCAAATTTGTAGACCTAGAACTTCCAGGTAAGAGTGCTATTGCAATGTGATGAAGTCATAGAAAAGCCGTTAAGAATGTTTAACAATCTTCTCGTTTGCACCGGCTTTAATCTAATGTCATATATTTATTACGCATTATCCAACATTCAAGTCTATGAACACATTTTACGATGAGCATGATTCAGACCTTTAACCTAAAAAAGTTACATAATGTCTACATTTAGTCAATAAAAGAGTACTGAGGTCTGTGCAAATGTCATTTTTTATGTTATTTTTACAAACCTTTACGTAATTAATTAACAGATTATGATTATTTATGAATTAATTAACGGAAATAACAAAATACATTTCTATTAATTAGATCTATTTGAATGGATTTAATTAACCTAGAAAAAGAACTTTTTCTTTTATTATAGTGTTTATACCTTTTCCTATTACAGGTTTATACCTTTTTTTATTTTTAGTGTATTTGAAATAGTTTGGAAAATGAAATTAGAAAAGTTAGAATGGCAACTATCACACGCTGTAAATAATGCTGTCGTTTATTGACAAAAGAACATGCTGTTATAAATATCCTCATTTTTTTTAATTGGAACATAGATATGAATATATACGTATATGCCACATGTTTTGTGAAATATGTTTTATTCTCTAACTCCCATGTTTGATCGTATAGCTTCATTAAAACGGCTCCAGAATAAAAATTAGTAAGATCAAGATGTGCATATGTGGTTGGATAAAATCCTTAGGTAGCAGGAAGATTTCATGCTCAGCTTTATTTCCCTTTTCATTTGGAATGCAGGACATAATCTAAAGGTCCCATAGATAGTAGATAGATCCCGTAGTACTTTCACTTAGCTTTCAAAGGACTTTTTATGGCATATTTTAAGTTTCCATTATTCGCAAAGTCCAATAAGTACTACAGCTTATCCGAGATTCGAACCTAGCTTGACAAACAGCTTTGTTAACCGCTATACTATTCATGGCAAAATGTAAAATTGTAAAGAAATACCTCCTTCCTTAACCAATGCCTTCCTGGTGCAATTAGAAGAACACCCAGTTGGCAATAGGAAGGCCCGAACATAGCTGTTATTCGGACAATTCGAATTCCGCCAAGGACATAGGTGATTTATCACGTTCTCTGCCCCCTTCCAAAATAATTAAAAAAACTCTAAAAATTATATCCAGACTAAAATATGGTCGACGATAATTTGTCAACATCTAGATTTGGCGATTCGGTCTTCTCATCTCCATTACCCATGTGAGTGAGAATAAATGTAAAGAATTATCTCCTTCCTTACCACATGCCTAGTAACTGAAGACCTACCAGCGCGGAGGGGTAAAGTCGCTGGACACTGGATCTGACTTCGAATCCCGGGGAATGGGATGGCAGCTTGGTTGGTTTTCAAGGTTCCCCCATGTGTAACGTGCATACGAGCTAGTTTCCCTTAAAAGTCCTCCACGAAGACCTCCCTCCGCATAAAATGGTATCCCTCGAGATGCTTTGTCTTAATTTAACATCACGATATAATTGGAAGCACGTCCGACTGGCAGTCGTAAAATCCCGAGTTCGAATCCCGGGAAAGGCATGTCTGATCTTTCGTGTGTTTTGCTCCGGCGAATAACGAATAGAGTTTAGAAAATGTATTGCAGATTTTAAATAATAACCAATGGGCTTATGAGCTTACTTTAAAAATAAATAAGCCCATTATAACCAAAGGGTTTATCTATTTTTATAGTAAGCTCCACTTAACGCGATCACATTTGTCCGCAGCTATTTTGGTAACATTAAACAACAAGAAAAAATATCCTTCAAAATAGCAATACGCAAAAAGAGCATATAAATAGATATTTTCACAACATTTTAATTCGGAAAATGTTTGATTACGAAATGATTACAATGTTTTTATTTCAAAAGTTTGCTTGGGAACAGTTCATTAAGTTTCTGGAAATTATTTGTCTGATGTTGTAACACTAATCTAAATACTGGGGAGGGTATCCCTCATTGGAAGAAACATTTCGAGCTAGGACTTTCGGCTCTCCGTATATTTACAGTGCCCCCATGCCGCAAAGACACTATACATTTACAAACATCCATGCCTTCTCCGGGATTCGAAACCGGGTCCTTCGGTACGGCAATCAGCGTCGTTAAGCACTATTCCGGTTGGGTGGCACAACAAATTTATTCTATGTATAATACTTCATATTAACCGAATTGTTGATCATAATAAGCAATGTATTTTCCACGTATGCAAACGGGCGGGACTTCGGCAATTCGATAACAATATCCGAATGATAACATTAACCGCGATCACATTAAGCGGCGTGAATTGTACGTTCAAAACGTTTTTCATTAAATCAACTACTGTGAACATCCTACTAATCGAAGGTAGATTAACCGGCTTGTGGATTTACCGGATGTTGCCTGAAAGAACGTTATGTTTGTTTATGATGGAATACAGAAGAAGTTACTATTAAAATCCATTCAGTGGAAAATAAAATTGCTTAGGTAAGATGGAGAGAGGAAAAGATTGGATTCGTTTTTAGTGTTTTTGAGCTGGCTGCCCCCAAAGCAAACTTCGGTTTATCCAGGTAAATAATATGTACACTAACTATCAATAATATTTTCATCGTATTTAAAAGTACGTCGATAAATAAAGGCTTTTTTTATATTTTCTGGATTTTCGCAGTAAAAATATGTAAAAAATTTACAAAATAAAATTAGCAAAAGAGAATAAACTTTAGAATATATAATTAAATACTAATATATTTTAAATTAGAGTTTTGTTACAAATAGTTCAACAAAATGAATCATGCATTATAAAGTGAGTTTGTCTCCTTTGAAATGGCACAGCATGAAAACCAGCGGGACCGGATTTCAGATTTTAAGGCTGGCAGTTATTTCCATCTTTTATGATCTAAATATATATGTTTTAACATTAACATCTATTAAATTTTAATTCCAAGAGCTATTAAATCTGGCAGGCGAAAAAAATAATAATGAAATCGAGCGAAATTTTCGCAATCCCGCAAGTGCCAAGGAATCGATTCGAATTTTAAATTTATTTCCACTATTATTCTTTTCGCTGTAACAACCAAATGAGAGCTAAACCAAATGAAAGAAACAATTCATTGCACTCTGGAGATCCTCCCTTCCCCAACGATTACTGAATGCTTCTGAAGTGGCGACCAAAAAAAAATAAATAAATAAATAAATAAATAAATTAAAAAAAAAATAACCTACCCTTCTTTTTTCCTCACCCCCACCGAGCATGCGCAGACGGCTTCACCACCCCTACTGATGAGGAACACAGTGATCACGTCTGCGGCATCATACAGAGACGCCATTGCTGAGATCTTTTCTCCGCTCTTCCTGAAACATCGTCAGCCACGCCCAACGTGCAAGTACTCGACGTACAGTGTACGCTACCGAGCTGTACAAAACCTGAAGTCGTTAACTCGGTTTGGACTCTGGCTGCGCCTTTTGAGCGGCGGTTACTTACGCCATGGAGCATCGGAAACGTGGTAAGTTTGCTTGCCAAGTTTAGTTTATGCATAGTTTATGAACGACTGCAGATCATGTCTAAGGTTTCTCGATAATTTGTAAATAGCGGAAGTGCTAAAGCCCGCCATGATATGATTAACGTATGTAACCTTTAGCATTAGCTCTCTCCTATTCTTCTTACGTACGTAATTCAGTTTAATGTTGAACGGCTTAAAGCAGCGGTCTCAAGTCGTGAATGCATTTCATTTATGTATTTGTTACATAAGGGAAAAAATTTATTTATTTATTCTCAAGTTTTGTCCCAATTGGAAAGTTTACTCTGAATACTTTGAAAATTTTTATAATGTGATTATTTTGAGTTTAAATCAAGGTTGTTTATTTAATGATTTATTAAACAGGTTAGAATTATTTAAAATAAATATCAGTCTATAGTATTAATATTTAGCTGTCAATACCGTTGAATTATCAACTGCAACCAACAAAATTTTCTTGAAGGTGCCAGACTTTAGATTTCAGACGGAAAATTGACTACAGAACAGAAAATGTGTGACAGACATAAAATGTATATATTTGAATTTTTTCCTTTGTGAATATTTGAATTTTTAGTATTTTTATGTACGTTTTGATAAATATGTAGTAAATATCAGAGTTTAATTTAAGATTAATTTGAAATTTAATTAAAATGTACTTCATTACGTTGATAAAAAATATTAATTTTATTAAAAAATAAATTCTGACCCTTTTTTAACAAAATAAAATCCTTTAACTTAAATTGAGTTTTATTTACTAAATATTCATCAAAGCATATATGAAAAAGATAATAATGGCATAAAGGAAAAAAATCCCAATTATATATTTTTCTGCCTAAAATCTAAAAGCTGGTACTTGCAAGATATATCTATTGGCTACACTTTGTAATTCAAACGTACTGACAATTAAATATTAAATTTACACACAGACAATTTACCATATTTTCTTGCATATTTCTCTCCCCCTCGCGTATTTTTCTCCTCTAGTTTTTTTCCCATGGATGTATTAGTCCTAATAGATGGAGCACGTTAATGTTTCCAAACATAACATTTTTGTTTCCAGTAAATGTCTGTGACATCAGCCATCAGAGTGGCAAGAAGTACTTTGATCTGTGTTTAGTTTGTAGTTTATGCTGCTTGTAGGAACCACTATTTTGAATTATTTCACCTGAAACAGTAAAACTTGGTTTTACTTTCAATTTTTGTTAGTTTCCTGCACATTGAAGTCTTGGGTTGCTTGCTGTTGTACCTACCATTTTTAACACGAAACTGGAATAACTTTTCATAAGTAATTATCAAGAGAGAGAGGTTCATTAGTGTTAATTTATTAATTTATGAAAATTATTAATCATCTTTTACACTATGGATATTAAGTTAAGAAGTTAGACCTTACCTTTTACCTCTTTTGAGTCAAATATTAAAGGTCATACATTTGTGCTGAATATAAAGGTCATACATTTGTGCTTAAATTTTGAAATAGATGTGCACATGTAAAATTAATAAATTGAAATAAATAGGTACTTTATAATTATCTGATTCCCGTTTTCAACATTTGGTAGAACTGCTCTTTTTTATGTGCTTTTCGTATTTACACCGTGCATATAAAGTTAGGAAGTTAGAAGTAGTTGAGTTACTATCTGTATTACATCCATGTTTTTACACGAGACAACAGACAACCCCATATGCGCGTACCATGTGAATTTGAACGCTTTATATTCAACTGAACAGTGTCTACCGCTTAAAAATATCAATATTCGACACGTAGTTTTTTTATTTTTCCGCATCAAATTTCTTTTCTCTTAAAGAAGTTTTTATATTATTTATGAACAGAATAAAAATTATAAGACGAAAGGATGGTCCAACTAATACTTCTCGTCATTTTATAAAGTCGCCAATGGGTTAGGAACGTTTGGTGGAGGCGCGATTAACGAGAAAGTTCAAATAAAGATAGAGCAATTATCTGAAGTTTTCCTAATGCTGTAATTTTGCCGAAAATTTTATTATTTTTTAACATATATGTTTCTTATTCAATATTTATTGAATTATTAAGGTATTAAAGAACCACTTGCAATGTCATTAATGATCAAATTTGAAATAACAGTATTGCATAACAATTACTATAATTGTTAGTGGTTTTTTGTTTTTTTTACGCTCTCATAGCTACTGCCAACTGTCTGGCCCAAAACAAGGTTTATTGTACTATGCGCGATCTACTGTTATTATTACTATATCAACGAGCATATTTATCGCTGAAAAATACGGAACTAAGAAACAAAATTAGTTTCATTTTTGATGATAATGAAGTAATGTAAAATTGCACTCTAGATCATTAAAATTATAAGTCTTTTTTCAAAATTTTGTCATAATAATTAATGTTATAATATTGCTGATTAAGGTTTGGAAAATGTATTTTCGGGCCATGTAAAATTACTCCCAAGAGCACATGCAGCCCGCGACTGCCAGTTTAAGACCACTAGTGTAAGTTATTTAAATCTCCTGCCCTCCCTTCCAATATTATCAACGTTGGCAGTATCTTTACGTCCAAGCCTGCCCTTAGCTATCAAACAAACCTGCTTCCCTAACTTACTTTTGCAATAGTAGTAAACTAGATATAAAATTTATATGTGTCGGCATTATATTAAATTTATACTAACTGTCGTCAGGAAAAGTCCTAAATAATTAAGTAAATCAAGTACTAAATAAAAATAGGTTCTTGATAATCTTGAGCATCGGATGGTTCTGTATTGTATATGAAGCTGTTTGTTATATATGTCTTTTTTTTTCTGAGGTTATCGATTAAATGAATAAATTGCTGCTGCATAGCGTTTTAATTGAATGATTTCAGAAACTGCGAGATTATTACTGAAGAAAATATTTTTTAAGTAATATGCTGCAATCTATCATTTTGGTTTTGATAATTAAATTGCTTCGTTCTTTCTTCTACGAAGTAAAAGAAGTACTGTAATCACGAAAAATTTCAGGTTTCAAATTTTAACGGAAATATCCATTTTGACTGATCCCGAATTCACTTTTTTTTTTGCGTGACGTTATCAGGTTCTGTGTTCCTCCTTACTTGCTTAGGGAACATTAACTGTCCTGACTCGGAACAGGGAGCTTACTAAAGCTATGTTCAATAAATTTGGGAAGTAGTCAATACACACAGGAAGGGTATACGAAACCCTTTATTTTTCTCTCTTTACAATGATTTCCGGACTTCGGAATACAGAGACCAACCACTTGTGGTCTGAAACAAGTGCCTAACTCCAAGATTGGCCGTATATTAACAAAAAGCCGTATGTAGTACAGAGAACTGCTAACACTACGATACGTTTAAAATTATCAAGAGGATTAAACCTCTGGTCTTGAAGGCAACCAGCAACCGAGCAAAACTACTATGGCAAGCGGCCTGCTTCTAATAGCTCCTTCCTCTCTCTTGCTTGGCAAAAAGCCACAACTTAAGTACTTGGCGTTCGCAAGACAAATTTGCATAAATAAGTTAAAGCTTTTAATTCTGGCCGGAAGTAGAAAATAAGAAGTGATAGTAAAGATTTAAAATAAAATAAACGTTAGTAAAACTTAAGATCCTTACAACGTACGTACAGAATAAAGGACACTTTTTTTCAAAACATATTGTAAGGCGAATTCAAAATGGAATTTTTGGTGACGTTTATACATACGTAAGTATGTATGTGTTTCGCACGACTTAAAAACGATTAGCCGTAGAGGGTTGAAATGTGATATTAAATATCCTGGTCTGTTTTTTGTCGTACAGAAGTCAAAGTTCTTATAATTTTTTTTTCATGACACTGTCCAGACAGAAAAGTGGTTAGTCTCTGATTGCCGTACCCAAGGGCCCGGGTTCGACTCTCGAAGAAGGCATAAATGTAACGTTAAGTGTTAAGATGCAGTGTTAAGTGTTGGCATATATTTTTCTATCTTTTTCAATCTTTTCTCAGGTTATAATATCAATGTTCAGTTTTCCTATTGATGGCTTACAAATTTTTTTATTTCTATATTACTAACTTTTATATGTTTAACTTTGTTTATTAAATATCACGTTCTTCGCACTTTTGCCACATAAAATTTAGTTCAACTACAAGATCACAGAATGTTTAAAAACAGCATTTCTTTAGAATCCCTGATGTGCTAGAGGTTGTAGTACGTAATTTTATATTGGCTATATTATTTCTCTAAAAACTGGCTGCTTACGCGGCCAGCGCCTAAATTAGTTCTCATAAAAAGGAAAAGTATATAATGATTTCAATGAGTCCAGCTAGTGTCATTTCATAAAAATACTGAATACTTCTAATTAGACATCTCATAATTTTAATACATCTTTATTTAAACCAATCCCATCAAAAAGTAGAAAAACATTTTGTTAAAAATATTATTACTGAAAAATATAGTTTAATTATTTAAGAGGAAACAAAATTCATATTATTGCTTTGAAACCGCTTAGTTTATTACTCAATAATCTTCCAGTTAAAACTACAAAGTATCTTAGGCTTTACTAAGTGGCAACACCCTGGTTCTTGGAAGATTATGTATTTTATTCCCGCCCGCGGTAGCACATTGCTTTCATAGAGCCAAATTTGTTAATTGAAACTGAAAGATATTTTCTTACATTTTCCGAATGGCAAGAGTCTCGCGCCCTGGAGATAATAGTGTTTTATATCTAACAATATTGGCAGTTGGCACTGCTGGCTGTCAAATAGTTGAGTTTGTTAATCAAAAATTCATTAAAATGTTACAAAATATGAATTCTAAAACTTCGAAACTGAAAATTCGAATTCGAGATGCACATTTCCGAGTGGAGCACTGCGTTACTCAAAATTGAACGGCTTTGGGTGTCGTCATTTTTTCACAATGCGAGAAACTCATACACACACATGGTGATTATTATTTATTTTTTAATAATTCACGGCGATAAAATTTTGTGACGATAGTTTTAAAAAAGTGGACCAACATTTATAGTTATATGCCACAAAATC